CACAAAAGATACTCTCGTATTCCCTTTTAGAATGCTCCTGAACTAAGGCAGAAAGGTGACTGTGTATCCAGACCTGTGTTTTCCTCTCTTTCTTCCATTTTCCAAGTGCTATGTGTTCTTGTAGTTCTTAAAAAAAAAAACTGGGGTGTTATCAAGTGGTGATTTCACAGGTGGGAGGCAGAGGTATGAGATAAATAGTGCAGAAGTCAGTTCTCTTCAGGATGGAAATGTATCCTGTTCCAGGATCAAAAGAAAAAAAGAAATAATGAATTTGTTCAAGTGATATATAAGATTAATACAATTCTAACAGAAGAGTCAGGGGCAGGGTCAAAGGTAGGAGAGAGACAGATGTGATAAGAAAACAGATTGATTCCAAAGATCAACTGAAAATATAAGCTGGAAAGAAAATGAACTTTGAATGGAAGAAGAAATAATGGAAGAGAATTAGGTACAATAGATGAATGATTTAAATGATTAAAGCCTGAGGTAATTAATATGTTCAATTGTCTGAATACTGAAATAGTTAAAAAGCACTATGATATCTTATATTACTCTTTCATGCAAGTTGGCTCTTCCTAAGCAAGCTTGACTAGGACCTGAGGGTGAATTTGTAGCTAAGAAGATGTATCTTTCTCCAGCATCACAGGCTTTACTAGCTTGACTAGAGAAAGAACTTTGTTGTTTTCCATCTGGGGAGGGTACATTTTACAAGTTTCATCTTCTATATTACTTGACCTGAATTGAGCTGAATTCTAAAATCACTGGGTAATGAATGGATTATTCATTTTGTATGTAGTATTGGATACCTAGTTGTTATTTTGTGGGGGCAGATGACAAAAACTTTAGACAATAAAAGAAAGTAGAAAGGATGAGAGAGAGACAGAGAGACAGAGAGAGAGACAGAGACAGAGAGAGAGAATTTTGGTGAAATGCTTTATAAACAAAAAAGAGAAGAAATCATAGAACACTGTATTTCAGAGCTAATCTTTACTGGAGTATCTCAGTGAACTCAGGAAAGCCTTCAAGTGTGGGACAAGTTTTAGCAATACTCATTCTTGAGGGTAAAAAACATACATGCTATTTATTTCCTCCTTTGCACTTGCACCTATTAATTATTTTCACAAAGTACATTTTATCCTCTTCATCAGGAAGACCAAAATAAATTGGTCCTTTTAGAATGTGTGATGAAATGACATTGAAAAATAAATACCCATTAACTCTGGAACTGAAACGATATTTGGCCATTGCTATACTTGATACAGGTTTCCTGTTTCAATTGAAATGGAAAGTCTTTGTTCAGGTTTCTATTGCTGTGAAGAGACATCATGGATATGGCAAGTCTTATGAAGTAAGAAAATTAACTGAGGTGGTGGCCTACAGTTTCAGAGGTTTAGTCCATTAGCCTCATGGTGGGAGCATGGTGACATGCAGGCAGAATGGTGCTGGAAAAGGAACTGCTACACATTGATAGACAGGCAACAGGAAGTAGGCTGAGTGTCACACAGAGCAAAGCTTGAGCAAAGGATACCACAAAGCGCACCCCCATAGTGACACACTTCCTCCAACAAGGCCACACCTACTCCAACAAAGCCACACCTCCTCGTAGTACCATTCCCTTTGGGGGCCATTTTCTTTCAAACCACCACAAGATTTTTAATTTCATCTTGATGTTTATTTCCTTTCAGAAACAGTTATCAGCTACTTTAAATGATGCATTTGCAGGAACATAGAACTAAATAATCTGCATGTTTTTGTGTTGTATGGTAAAATGGTATTTGTTAATCAAAAATAACAAGTAATTTTCAATTTAATATTTTCTTTTTTCTCTTTTTCTTCCTTCCTTCTTTCCTTCATCCCTTCTTCCTTCCCTCTCCATCCCTCCCTCCCTTTCTTTCTTAGACATAATCTCGTAGTGTACCTCAGGCTGGCTTCAAACTTAATTGCATTAGTTATTTTCTTATTGACATTATGAAATATCTGACGAAAGCAACTTAAAGAAGAGTTTCTTTTTCTTCCATTTTGAGGCTACAGTCCATTGTGCAGTGAAGTTATGGCCGCCGTGGCTGTGGCAGGGGTAAACCCAGCAGTAAGGCAAGCAGGCTGGTCACATGGCGTCCTTAGCCACGCAGCAGAGGGCTAACTAGCAGGTACTCAACTCATTTAATCAGCTTTCCCTTTGTATTGACCCAGCCCATAGAATCAGAGTGGATCTTCACACCTCAGTCAGACTTCTCTAGAAATGCCCTTACAGACACACCCAGAAGCTGGTTGTCTGGGTGGTTGTAAATTCTGTCAAAGTGTGATTATCAGGAATCATCTTGCTTCAGCCCCCAGGGTGCTGAACTACAGGGTGTGACATCACCTTCAGTAAGAATTGTAAACTCTCTTCCTATTCAATTAAGAAAAAAACGAAAAGTGGCCCTAGCAGGAACATTAATTTTAAAATTAATAGAAGGCGCCAGGCAGTAGTGGCGCACACCTTTAATCCTAGCACTTGGGAGGCAGAGGCAGGAGGATCTCTGTGAGTTTGAGGCCAGCCTGGGCTACAGAGTTCCAGGGCAGGCTTCAAATCTACACAGAGAAACCCCGTCTCACAAAGCAAAACAAAACAAACAAACAAATAAAATTAATAGAAGGCTGTTCATTTTTTATGAGTGGCTGCATGCAACATGATGAATAGAAAACAATGAACTGTAACTCTGAGGAAATTCAATGGTTAGAATCTGTTTAGTGTTTGTACCCTGCCACGCTTCCACAGCCTTCTTGTCATCTTCCTTCTCGTAAATCTGGTCTGGAACTTCCTTCTGCGTTTAGTGCTGTCAAAAACTTGATTCTAACATCCTTGAGATTTTTTGTGCCTGCAAGCCATTTCATAAAGAAGTTCATATTGTAAGTTAGACTATAAGAATAACCAAGCAATAACCAACTTAGAGAAAATACAAAAGCAAACCATCCTGAGCACTGTGTGCAAGGGTTGGAAAGAGATAGTTGGGCCGATTCATGCAATTTCATCCATCTGTCCTGTGGTGAATGTACTTTTTAGTCAGTTTGTTTTCTGATTAGTGCTTCTACCCCGCGTAGGTAGGGAACACAGATCTACCGGGAGAACTTCTTCAGATCTCTGGGAAATTGTTTCAGCCAGGGAGCGAGGAGGAGGCTAGAAAGAGGTGTCTTACTGAGAGGGGGAATATGGGCTGTAGCTTCAGGAGCCCTGGAGTCAGCTCTGTGAAGGCAGGGAGTGAGGAAGGGATTAAAAGTCCTCTCCAAAGCTAGTAGAATAAAATGAACAGGTAAAGGACATGCTGTAACACTTTCCACAGACTCATTGAATGGGCTTGTGATGTTTAATCTCTGGAGCCATTCTTTCTTTAGCCCCATGCTTAAGAAGACTTGTTTACTGAAAATGATCTAATATTTCTCAAACTATGTATTCTTGGAAGTCTATGCTAGAATCTTTTACTGTTGTATTAAAGTATCCCACGTTTTCAAGTATAAAATGGATTAAATTGATGACTTCCTTATTCTTAAGTGACAGTTTCTAATCATAGTGATAAAATGATTCAAATGGCATTGTTTAATTATCATTAATTCTTCTTGAATTATTTATGGTTATTTACAGGAAAAAAACTAGTGTGGATAAGTGTTTTCACTGTAATTTTCTTTTCTTTCATATTTTCTTTCTTTCTGGGTCACCATTTCATGTACCCCAAGCGTTCCTTTACCTAGCTACAATAGCTGAAGATGGTTATGAACTTCTGATTTTTCTTACTCTACCTCCTGAGGCATATATGTGTCACCATGCTTATTTTTATGTGGTGCATGCTAGATCAGCAGTCTATCAAATGAGCTACATACGTGGCCTCTTGTTACAATAATTTTAATGTATGCTTACTTGTTTTGATAAAGGGGGAAACAAAAAAAAAAAAAACTATGAGCCAAATTCAAGAGATCTAAACACAGTGTCAGAGAAATCACCTAATTTTCCTGGACTTCCATTCCCTAATGTTCAAAACAAGGGATTTTGGTTAGAGTACGGTGATCTCTAAACTGTTTCCATTACAAATATTGGGAGGTTGCATCTTTTCTAACAGAACAAGCGTCAGAGAGAAGATCCACTCAGCTACAAGGTCTTTGGAAGGGAATTTCCACTACCTGTCTCCTCACATTACAGCAAAATAAGACGGGGTGTTGAAGAACCCATTTTCTGCTGTCTTCCTTCCCTAACACTAGTCCATTTTAACTCCTGGACATGCAACTGCCACGAGTTGCATCACCTAAGTTTTTCTCTTGTAGTAATTGAGCAGAGAGTATCGAGGCAACAGAAAGAGTAAGCATGGCGATTGGAATACATGGAGGTCTGTCTGCTAGCCTCTTAGCTCTGGCTTGGAATTCAGCATATTATAAAGCACACCGATATTATATGCATGCCAACTTTATCTCTTTCCCCTCTATTTTCGCATCCAAACTAACACCGAGGTAGCTAAATTGTAAGGATTATCTCCAGAAACTTTCGTAGTGGTCCTCTCATTCTCCCAAGTCATATTCCTATGAGAGCACGTTTTTATTCTTTTCCCACTCAAGAGTACCAGACTCATTAAGAACGGTTTGCTGTGTTATCCTTCCAACCCCACACAGAAGTTTTGAATTCTTAGGTAAGCTTAGGAAGGCTGCAAATAAACAGAATGTGGCGGTTGAGGGAATTTTCTTGTTCCTTCTTTTTTTTGGGGGGGGGGGTAAAGGTGGGGGGAGAGTTGGAAGGGATAATGTGCAAAGATTCTGGCTGAGTTTAAAAGAGAAAAAATTATAAAAGAAAAAAGTCTATTCAGCGCAGTAGCGACAGTGTTTCATGACTGAGTCTAGGAGAGGGCACGCCTCACTCTTTATTTATGCCCTTCCTGTGGCACTTTCCCTCTTGTTAGACCGCAGAGGTGTTTTAAATTCGTAAGAAACAGCATCTTTGGAAGGAGGTTCAAAAGGAAACTCGGCGCTGTGGGAGTGGGGCGGGGCCCGCGTTTTCGCTCCGTTCGGAATAAGAACCGGGTAAGGGACAGCCCCTCCTGGGGAGCGGTTTCTTTCTCTCCTCACCTCCCAGCTCCTCCAGGTCTGCCTTTAAAAGCCAGACAGACTGTTCTGCGCTACTGCAGAAAACCCCACCAGCGTCCCTAGGAGACCGGACGAAGTGCGCACTAGGAGTTTCCTTCTGGCCGAGAGGGGGAGCCCCGCGATCCCAGCCCCAGCGACTGGAAGTCCCGACCCAGCCCGGGCCGTCGCCAGCGCCAGTTCAGGCTTCGGCAGATTAGGAGGAGGAGGGAGGGGGCCGGAGCCCGAGAGTCCCGGGCCCAGCGCCGTGTAGACGTCCACAAAGTTTCCTTGTCCGCCACGGACGCGCGTTCGCGGGCCAGGGTCCCCCGAGATCCCGCGTCTGCCCCAGCCAAGCGGCCGCATCCCTCTGCGGAGCCACGGTAGGAAGCCTTCGAGGGCGTCCGGGTCCGGCCAGCTCCGACCAGGTGGCACGGAACCGGGAACGGACCCCAGGAAGCGGGCGCGGTCTGCGGGGCGGGTGAGGGGGGCGCGGGGCTGCGGCTGCCCGCAGGTTGCACAGATCCGGACCCTGAAATTGCAGGGAGTCGGCGGGCGGGGAAGGAGGCTGGGACCTGTTGCTGCAGGCGGGGGCTGTACCGGAGGGAGGTGGGGGCGCCCAGGCTCCCCGCGGTGCAGCGCCTTCCCGCTGCAGCCCCCGCCGGCCCCTCGGGGGAACTTCGCCTCAGTCTGGCACGGGCGCGCAGGGGCCGGGAACGAGCGTGGGGGGTTTGTGTGTTGGGGGGGCTGGGGAACGGACGCTGGACCATCCACTGGGGGTGCGTTGAGCCGGCGCTGCCCAGCAAGCGGAGGCATCGCTGGGTCAGCGAGGCGACCGAGAGCCAACTTCGTTCAGCCTGGTCTCTCTTTTGTTGGGTCGCTGGGAAAATGTGGGCAGGGGGCGGGGAGGCGAGAAGCTCGTGACCGGGCGGCAGATAACTATAAAGCTCCAGTCTGGGGCGGTGTCCACGCGGCTGCCCTTTGGCTGGGCGGGTTAGATCGCTGCTTCTGCCGGCATTGCGTTAGTGGGACCCGAATTGCCAAGCTTGCTCGCTCGCTCGGGTCCACCTCCCGGTGGTGGCCTTGCTCTCGACCTCGCTCCGAAGACGGCACAGCTGGTTCTCTATCCTCGGGCTGCTGGGCTGACTTCCCTGTGTGTGGAGGGAACTCTGGGCCGTCTAGTTTTCTTGGAATGTGTTTACAATGTTGAATGGGACTTGAACAGGAAGCTGGACGCTGCAGCTAGAAATAGCGTGCCAAGGTAGAGTGAGGAAGATCTAACTGGTGTTGGGGAAACTCCCAAGTGTGGGCTGAAAAGGTACCCCCACCCCCTTCCCGCCTTAGTTTTTCTCGGCAGACCTTTTCTTCATTTGCAATTAGACATTTGCCTACATTATTTCAGCCTGTAAGTTTGACAGCTCATATCAATTAGGAGAATGTAATAAATTTATTTTGTGCTGCACCATCATTTAAGAATGAAAACTTCCTAGACTAGGCCAGTTCTAGCTACCCTATTAATTCTAGGTTTGCAGAGGCCAGGATACCGATGGTTTTATGTAGTCCATATGGGTGATCAGGTCGTAAAAGAGCAGATTGGAAGACAGTGAATGGTGAGAGGTGGGAAACCCTGAAAGGAATTGGAAATTTTTCAGATTTGCAAATGGCCTGCTTGCTCTGCCAGCCTTTCCCTCCTTCCTTCTTATTAACAAATAGCCTTGCTAGAAAACCCACCGATTGGGAGAGTTCAGACGCTGGTGACTGCAAGCTTTTCTGGAAACAACGGTCAGGCTAAGGTACTGTTCCACTGCATAATTAAACGCTCTCCTTGAGCTGTCCAGGAGCATTTTCCAAGTTTTTACGACTGACAAGGAAAGAAGAGAGGAATCTGGCTGGCAGCCAAAATCAGACCGAGCTCAGTAGCCTGGCCTGAAAGAGACTGGGGAAGTTGCAGGGAATAATTGGAAAGGGTTGGTAGTGGTACTGCGGCTTAAATAAGGAGGTTCTTATGAAATGAAAATTGTAAATGACTTAGAGTCTTGGGCCGGGGGGGGGGGGGCGGGAAACAACTAGCTAAGCCTAGAATGCAGTTGAGTATCACAAGGAGTGTAAGAAGGCCTGGAGGAGGGAAGTGTGACCTTTATCATCCTTTCTCTGGAATAGCAATGGTACCTTCTGCGCTGATGATGCTTTGCATGTGTTCACACTGTTACCATGTCTCCTCAAGATGCACGCTGTTAGCTGCAAGTTCAATCCTTTGACCTGGACCTTTCTTCCTGGTTTTCCTGGCCAGTAAGAACTGAAGACGGGTGCTGAGCAGATGGTTTTCCACCTAAATTGAATAATTCAGTTATTCTCCAACAGCCTGGATTTGGGGTCATAGAATTAGAATGGAAAGCTCATCTAGTATTTCTTTCTTGTGTTTCAGCAGTGACCCCAGGGAACAGATCTCCTCCTTTCACCTGAAGAAGTACAAGTCAGGGTGATCTCAGTATTTCACACACTTGATTCGAGGCTAGCCAGGGACTCGATGTCTTATCTACAGTTCTGACTCTTTCTATATTCACATCACTTCTGTTTTGTCTGTCCCTCATTTTGTTACTCAGTGAGCTGGGTCTACTGTTGTGGGCCTGGGAGCTGAATGTACAAAACAGAAATGTGGTTGGTATTTCTTCTGGATGTGGGAGTTTGAGGTTGTAAATATCACTCTTCTCTCTGAGATTGACTTTATGAATCACCATGTGCAAAGTGTCTTTCTTGACTGTGACTTCAGTTTTTCCGCTTGCAAAGTAAAGAAACTTTCCTTTACACAATTCCAAGCTCGTTAAAGAGATGAAATGATGTTAAGAGTGTTCAGACTTAAAGGTCATGAGCTTTTTCACTCAGTCGACTGAGTTTATAGGAATAAAATTGGGATGTTTCTATCTGTTATACACACATAATATGTCTGTACATTTAAAATTTTTTACATTTCATTCATAGCTATGATCATAAATTTTTCATTTTTAAAATTTTAAATTTTTTGAGATTTCATCCCAAAGTGCTGTATTTACATCATTTCCACTCCTCTTTAATGACTGCTGTACCTCTTCCCACATTGTCTCAAACTCATCTTTCAATTATTGTTGCTGCATATATATATAAATCACACACACACACACACACACACACACACACACACGCATGCACGCATGCACGCACACGCACACCAGAAAAAAGCCTTACTAATTCCATGTAGTGTTATTGGTATGTGGATGTGTTTAGGATGCCACTTGGGATAGGGTAACCCACGAGGGATGTGGTCCTTTATCTGTTCCTTCATCCCTCCACTGATTGACTGTAACTCTTCATTTATGTGAAATGTACACATCCGTTGGCATATCAGCTAGTGTTGCTGTTGTGTAGATCTTTTTAGGTGACCACATTGCTGAGATTTCCTGAGTGCAGCTTGTCTGTCATGTTTGAAGTTCACTATCCAGCAGTAGTTGTCCTGGTACTCTGGTTCTTACAATCGTTCTGCCTTTTCTAACACAGTTTCCCCTGAGCCTTCGGTGTATGAGTTATGCAGTAGATGTTTCACTTGGGACTGGATCCCTCATGCCATTTATCCCCAGCATTTTTACCAACTGTGGATCTTTGTAATAGTCTGCTGAAAAAAGAACCTTCTTGGAAGAGGAGTGAGAGCCGCACTTATGGGGGAACCTGGTGTAAGAGCTGCATATCAGGCCTCGGAGTATAGAATGTCTCAGGCCCCTTGTTCTCAGATTTTCATTTTTGAAGATGTTGAGTGAGATTTCGTTATGTTAAAGACAAAAGAATAACCAGCAAACTCACTGTTTTTAGTTATCTTTATATTCAAAGCCAGGTATTTTTTTAAGCCTAGCTCGTGTTTTTCTTTGTGAAATGCTAACGAGGATATTTGCAAAATTGTGTTTGTTCAATTGTTTATTTATTAATTTGCATATTTATGCTTGGTGCTTTTGAGGCAGTATCTAACCCTGTAGCCCAGAGTGGCTTGTAACTCAGTGTTTATGTCGTCAAGGCTGGCAGAGACTGGAACTAGAGGCAATCCACCAGCTCACTCAGTCTTTTGAGTTCTGGGATTCCAGTGCAAGCCACCATGTGAGTCCTCCTTTCTTGGAAGCAGCACTTGAGAGACTAAAATATATTTGTAATGTGGAAACTAACTGTTGATAGCCATAACAATTTCTGTAATGGTTCTATGAGAGATTTTGGAGCCACTGATGGATTGACTCTGTTAGTATTTGTTAAATGTTTAGTATGGACATAATTAGTTCTGTGTTAGGATTATAGCCCTGAACTCAGCTTTGCTGATTTGTCTGTATTAGTTTATTTGTTGTCTATATGAATATCTGTAACTCGTGAACTTGTTAGTTGGTGGTACATGATACTTGTGAAATATTTAATTTTTAGTTTCAGCTAATAGGTATCACATCAACAGTGAAGATATACCTGTTTTTAAGTTCACTGTACTATGTAGTATTCATGTAGTATTCATTCCTTAAGGTGAATAGGTCAGTGTAACAGAGCAAACAGAATAAGAATGATAAATGACTCAAAGAAAAAAAAATCTCATTTCTGTAAAATGCTTAATAATAGTCTTTATTATTAGATTTCACATTATGATGAATAATGGATGTGTCAAAAGCGAGCATATATGGAATAAAGTAGTGTTGATTATAGTTGGAAGTTTTCCTGTGTCCCAACCAGCCCTGCAGCCTCTCAGACCCAAGTAAACACACAGAGGTTTATATCAATTATGAACTGGATGGTCTATGGTCAAGCTTCTTGTTAGTTAGCTCTTATTTTTTAAATTAACCCATTTCTATTAATCTATAAGTTGCCATGTGGCCATGGCTTACCAGTACTTTCACGTCTTTTCTTCTGCTGTTGCCTGGCAGCATCTCCTTCCTCTCCTTTCTTCTCCCACTGTCTCTCTTGGATTTTCCCACCTGGCTCCATCCTGCCCTGCCATAGGCCAATGCAGCTTTATTTATGAACCAATCAGAGCAACACATATTCACAGCCTACTGCAAGACATCCGACAACACTTCCCCTTTTCTGTCTAATCAAAAAGGAAGGTTTTAACTTTAACCTAGTAAAATTACATATAACAAAACGGTTATCAAGCAAGAACTACAGTTATAATATCTAGTCTATTTATATTGGGCAAATTCAAAGAAAATATTCTATTTATCCTATATTTGTGAGTCTAAGGTTTCATGTCTAACATCTTTTATCATAACCAAAAGAGGAGAAAGGAGATGCTGTGAACCACTGGTGGGAGAAGCAAGATATGAAAATACCGGTAAGCCACAGCCAGGTGGCAACTTATAGATTAATAGAAATGGGTTAATTTAAGAAA